CCCGCGGCCCCCTCCGCATCCGGGGCGTGCGGGGAGCGGCTGCGTCTTCATCGGGGGCAGCGGAGGAGGAAGTCGAGTCTGAGTGGGCTCACTAGCTCCCGCGCTCGCTAAAAAAGAGAAAAAATACGGTGGCCGTCCACTAAGTATGAGTGTTGTAAATCAAAAGGGCTTCTTTCTTTTCAGCCTCCCCGCACTGCTAAGGAAGGTAGACTCCCTTGCAGTTCTGCCCGTCACCGTGGGGTTTGGTGGAGAAGGTGCGGGAGGCTTGGCCAGCTCCATGCGAAGCTGTGGAAGCTGCTCTGAGCTGCTCTGTTACCTTTGTGGTGTTTTCATTCTGCACTGATTTCCCAAAAGTTAAACCAGCGTTACTATCAAGAAGAAAAAGTAGAAACATACAGCTCCTATGTTCCTTTTTTTTCCCCTGATATGAAAAACACACACAAAAAAATCTCAAATCCCATTTGTTGTCTTATTCAAAAATCATGCCTCAAGTCTAAAAGCTGGAGTAAACGAAATTAGGGTTATGTACAAATAACAATATTTTATACATATATACACTTCTGTATGTAAGTATTAATTGCTGTAAATATGTTATCAAGCACTTTAAGTTGTTCATACTTCTGCCAATACTGCATTTTGGATCATTGATTACACTGGGCTTTAAAACATCAATAAAATCACGTAATTATTTCTGCACTACTGTTACTGCATATAGTTTGCCTGCAGACAAAAGCAGCACTAGCAGAGCTAATAAAGCTTACTGCATGTGACACAGGCTTTACACTCATTGTCCTGAAGAAATGCTGAAAGTTTCCATAACAAAGCCATGTAAAGCTGGAAACTGGGAGAAGCTGGTTTGCGGCATCCGCTGGAGAAGACAGATGAATTGCAAGGCACTAGCAATACTGCAGTGTTAAAAAGGCACTTGCAATACTGATGCTGCAGATGCCACTGCTCCTTTCCCTGGTTGCCAGAAAATTGCTGCAGGAATAAGATGTTTTTTACATCTCTTCAAAACATTGCAGTGTAAAAAGTTGTTGATTTTTTTTTTTACAGCATTAAAAATCCCATGCATTTTTTAACCTCATCTTTTCTTCCCAAGGATGAAATCCGGTTCCGGGTTATTGCTGCACGTGTGTGTGAAATTCAAGCAATAACGGTGTTATTCAGTACTTCTTGTACTAGAGGGCAGCAGAGCCTCAAACTTAGTGAATTCACTGAAAATCATTTAGGTTTAATTTTACTAAACTTCTTTAGGAGAGGGTTGATAGCATCTATACATGAATACACTTGTGTGGTGTAAGTATCCTGTGTAGGAGTTCTCACTAGCGAGTTTGAGGAGAGAGGGCCATGTCAGTACCCTTGCTTGGAGAGCTGGAATTCCCAGACAGCCAATATGAATTTTTTGTCCCCGCTTGGAGGAACATTCCAAGGATGTCACTTGCTTGGATATCCCTCCCAAACACTCCTCCCCTGCCATATCCGACAGCTAAGCTGGAGCTTCTGGATGTGCATTTTCTAGCTCGTGAAATAGTAATGAGAATTATCAAGGTCACCAGGAATATTATTGATTTATCCATTAATACGTTGGGAGAAGGTTTACAGTTTGTCACTGGGGTGCTGACAGATGAAATTAAGGCTTTTCAAAACCTGGTTTAATAGCTCTCCAGCTGAGTTAAACTGAGTTCAGTCTCCAGCCTTCAAAATGTTCCCCAAACTGTTAATTTGCTATTGCAAATAGAGCCCATTGCTCCAATAGTAGCATTGTTGATTTCAGCGGGAAAGCTCAGAGTATTGGAAATTGAAAAATTGTCTCTCCTAGCAGAAGACTCCCTCAGTTGATTACAGTTCCAGAAAAACTTTGTTGGAAGTTGTTGAAACAAGTTAATCAGTTCCCCAGAATCTTAATAGCTGTTCGCCTCTGAATGTGTTTTTTATCCCACATCAAGAAAAAAATATTTTTTGAAATCCTTCACTGGCAATAAAGACCTAAAATTTGCTCTTGTAAATCCTTTATTATTTTACATGCCTGCATCCCAGGGTTAACCACATCTCGCAGAAGTGCATGAAGCCTGCAGAGATGGGCAAGGAGCAGACTTTGAGCCATATGAATTGTCCTGTCCTGTGTTTTTCAGAGGACGGCAATTTTCTCCTACAATGTGGCTGCAAATTGCTTGCTATATGTCTGCCACTGGGGGAAATGGCAAGATCCAGCATACCCAAAGTGCAAGCGACAAGCTTTTCCCCTTGGAAATAACAAAACAAAACACTTTCACGATCAGGTGTCCCACAATCAGAAGGCTTCTTGCCCGCTCCCTTCCCGTGATGCCTGCGGGGTAAAGACACCCCGTTACGTGTGCGGGGTACACGTACGTGCGTACGTACATGATGAAACTGCCTCGTGGGCTCGACACCCGCCAGGGACGGCTCCGCCGCGTCGCAGGGAGCGCGGGGCCTCGCTCTGCTCCCACGCGCCCGTCCTCAGCGATGTCCTACGGTTGGATTCGTCATGCGTAACCCTGCCATTTCCTCTACCATCTTACACAGCCTGAATATCAGGTCCTAACTGCATCACATAATGTCATTTTTCTTTTTTCTTTTTTTCCCAAGGCAAATTTTTCTAACCTTGGCTTTGGAGGACTGTATACGAAAATGCTGCCTAATAAAGGCTATCCCTGGCCGCAGCCCGGGAAGGATTAATCCTGTGCATTCACCCTGGCTGGCAGCAGTGCTGCAGACAAGGGCCTGGAGGACAGCAAGCTGAACAGTGTGGTCCTACAGGAAGCTCACGTTGTTTTACAACTGGAGGGACTTGCTTTTGTCTTTTTCTGTTGGAATAAGAACACACCCTCAAAACCAAGCTGGCAGCAGATTTGATTCTCGGTACACAACATATAAACAGCATATATACTGATATTTTCTAACACAGTCATTCCACATTGTCCTAGTTCATTAAGACAGTGCTTATTGAATTGGTCTGATAAGTCTGTGTCAATTTAAATGCCTCCTTGTAGGCTGCCATCACAAAGTCGCCCAAACCCATAATGGCTTTTCCTGGCCAAACCAAATGGATTTACAGAAGTCCCATCTCTGTCTCTTAGCAGGTGCCATGTCTCTGGCTACTGAGTATTTTAACCAGCTCAGTAAATGAATGTCACAACATAGCTCTTGTTATCCGACGTCGAGAAAGCATCAGAGTACAGCAGGCTCGGAAAGTACTCTGTGATACTAGAGACATTTTCCACACTGTAAGACTTCAGCAAAGAATATCCGTTGAAAAGAGAGGTATCCAGAAAAGAAATATGTACAAACATTTGCCTGTCTTTGTTGTGCGCTGCAAACGGGTCCCCTTTCTCACTGTTGCTGCTACCATAAATGGTTACGCTCTGCTCTGGAAATTGTCCCTTGATCTTGTTTTTCACTCGGAGCTTTCGCAGGCCCCAGATGGTCAAGTATTCGGTTGGGAGAGGAGTGGTGCCGCAGAAGGAGAGCTTCAGATCACACACGCTTGTAAAGTTAAGGAGCATCTCCAGCCCAGAGGTGTCTGTGAACCAAATGGTCAGGTCGCTGTTGTAGCGTGTTTTCTCCATGGTGGAAGGCAACACCGTTCTGCAGTTGCACATGAGGTTTGCCAGGCTGTAGTCACAGTCCCGGATATCTGCCAAGCAGCTGCAGTTGCGAATTGTGCTTTCCCTGGTGAAAATTAGCGTATGGTTCTTCTGACTTCTCACAAACCTGTTAGGAAAGCATAAGCCAAGGAAGGCAGCCAAAAAGAGAACCAGCCAAAAAGAGAAAGAATATAAGGGTATTGGCTTCATTAGGACAGGTGCCAAGCTGCCAAGCGTCTTCTTCTTTTACATGTGAATTGTATCGCTTGTCCTTACCTGGTAAGGAAAAACAATTACTTTATTATACCAAAGGCATATACCAATGATTAATACAACTTCACTCTTCTCACTCATTTTCTGTCTCATCTATTTAGACCCATACTGCAGGTGTGCAGACTGCCCTGCATTAAAGGAAAAGCAGAGCTACAGTGATACAGAAAAATGAATTATTCCTCAGGTTTGGGATTCTTCTCTTACTCCCCACTTGCTCTAAATTGTTTAATCTGTTTATGGAACAGCTTGGACAGGCTCCTCTCTATCCAGGCAGCTCCACAGCCTGCCAATTATGAAGGACAGGACTCCTGCTTTTTTTTTTTTTTTTCTGTTTTCTCTTGATTTGCTTCCTGACAGACAGGGGTAAGAAGTGATTGTGGTGGGGTGTGCTAACAACCTGTTGCCTCTACAACCCACTTTTCATGCATATGAAGGTACACCTGAGCCTACCTTAGCCTGTACACCTGGGAGCACCAGGACCATCTCTCACGGTGTCCCTGCTCAGCAGAGTAGTGCCTCTTCTAGCAGTGCGGGCTGCTGACAACAGAGCAAATTTCCAACCCCTGCACACTCCACCTATGTCAAGAGATGGGGAGCAGATTTGGCAGGAGCTCTTGGACTCTCATCTGCCACCCTCTGGGTTTCAGAGCAGAGTTAGATCTTGCCAGAAGTCTTTAGGGTTCTCCTGGCCGATTAGTAAATGATGAAACAAGCAAAGGTGAACAGTGTAACTTCTCAACATCAGTTAAAAGATGTTGGAATTTTTGTCTGATAAGATTGTAATTGTTGTAATGCACCAAGATATGTTAGAGCCGAGTTTTGCCCAAAGGCAGCATGTATCAGTGAAGGCAACAGTAAAATATGCTGGGAAGGGAAGAATTTAGCCCTTAGGATGTGAAAAGATTGTTCCATCCCCCAGAATATGTGTCCAGCACTTCAAAAATGTGTCAATTCTACTATAGGTTTGTAGAAACACAATGAATAATCTGGAAAATAATACTCTTTATAATAATAAGTGTTAACTGTTTTAGGTTATTGTTTAACCTACCACCATTTGACAGTGGAAATATAACCTGCTTGGTCATTTAACGGATACTTAAGCTATAGGTATAAAACAAAAAAAAAAACCCAAACCAGCTCTTTAGGCGCACACTATGTTTCATTAGCACAATATACTAATGAGTTTGAGCCTAGGATACGTAGTTGTTCACCATCTTGGTGATTTAGACCTAAGCGCTCTAAGACCAGTGCCTGCTGAAAATTTGAGAGCCTTCTTTATCTAACATTTAACCAACACATACCTATACGTACACAGATATGTATTTGTATAAGAATACATCTTGACAGTACACACAGTACTTTCCACACTTGTCACTTAAAGAGAACCTGGTACTTTTATCCCCTTTTTTATTTTGAAGTTTGGTCTCCTGTCTGTGAATCATCTGTTCAAACTGTGATGGTTTGTAAGTGGCCAGGGCAACATACCTACGCATGGGCGGAAAAATCCACACATATGTAATGGTGGACCCCAGGTTGCGTGCATTACCCATTGGTCCTTTTCAGGGGTGAGATCTTTAGTTTATGATAGAGAGTTTCATGAAAACATAAGCTGAGTGCTCAGCAGCAGTCAGAAAGGGAATCCAGTACACAGACATCACAGCCGGCCACAGAAGGCCCTGCACTGAAAATAGTTGGAGGCTGAGAAAGTTATAGGAGGAATTATCACATACTCCTGCCCTGTTCTTGTCCTATCCATAGGCAGCTTCTTATGGCTGCAGCAGGAGACAGGATACTTGGCTAGATAGAATTTTGGTTTGGTTATTCTTCTATAAGACGTTTATAGGGTAAAGAAAGCAAATTGATTGTAATGAGATTTAATTCTCATTCAATGTGATTTAGCTCTGTGGATACTCCTGGAATTTAGCAAGGTAGGAAAACAAGTCATTTTGTTAAGTGGAAGATACAGAAATTTTCGTGTTAAAATCAAATACTTAATCCATGTTCCACAGACTTAATGGTATGTGGAACATACCAGAAATACCAACCCAACTGTTAGCTAATGTTTAACATCCAAGGTCAGGCTCATCCAAGCTGTTGTTGCTCTGGTATCGTTCCTGTTGGATGAATTTGGTGTCAAGTATCTAAACATCTAATCCCACATCATGAACTTCCTAATACTAACATTCACTGTGTTTATTTTCTCAGCTCTGACGATGCGAGGAACATCAAGCAAAAGTCACAATCTTCCTGCAGAGATACTGGAAAGGAGGAGCAGGAGTTTGCCAGAGTAAGATGTGGAGAAAAGAAAGAGGGTTGGGGAAGTATGGTCTGAAAAAGATGCCTGAATGTATGCACCTGGAGGATAACAAGGCTTGTTATTATGAAGGAAAATGTCTGAGGTGATGTAAGCTTACATCTCTTTGCATAGCATAGCAGGCATAGCAGTCCTGGAAAAGCAAAATCGTACAAGCATTTTTCAGCTTTCCATTTTACCCTAGAAGACTAATGAGTCCAATAAACTGATATGCCTGGTATTTCAAATCTGAACTTGAGAAATGGTTTGAATGCTCTTCCCTCACAGGTCCACCAACCTGCTTTAAACGCCTGGTCTTGTACCAAGCATAACTTCTGCCTGAAGCAATTAAAATGATGGCTTCATATCTGAATACAAGAAATGATTGAACTTGCTTATTAATTATTTTAATGAACTAACAGGTGAATAGGTTTTGGTGAAAACACAGGATGGGTCTGGAGCTCGCATACCTTATGCTCTATAGGACTCCTTTGCTAGTGCTAAAGGTTTAATTTAAACTTGTGAATAAAACATCCTAGAACTGTACTAGACTGCAGATGCCCTCCAGCAGGCTCCAGCTCCTCCAATGCAGCAAAGCAATCATTTGTGCCAAACAGATGAACTCAGTTTGGTATTATAACTAACAATCCCTCAAACAAGCAGGTTTCAAATGATATATAGCTGGGATATAGGTATAAGCTCTTCACTCAGCTGCAATGCTGCTTTTCCTAAGTTAATCTCACATAGTCATTTAACAGTTTCAGCACTCTGAAAATACGTAGTGTAGTTGCAGTGTGTCCTTTCACCAGTTACTAATTAGTTACTTTGAGAGGCACAACCTTCATCAAAGCCACCCGCTAAATAGGAAAATCACACAAAAGAAAGTCTCATATCCTTCCCATCCTTACCTAGTCTGTTTTTGGAAACACGATTCGAAGCAGAGAACAGAGCAGGCAAGCAAAGCTGGTAGCTAAACAGCTGCTGAGTCACGCCCCCCACACCGCCTTACCATGCAGCTCAGTGAGGAAAGCAGGCAGCGCTGCAGAATGAAGTGAGAAATTAAATCAGGTCAAGGGAGCGAGTCTGCACTTCGCACTGCAATGGACTGCACGGTCGCAGAGGAGCTTCCCTGCGCCTGCTTTTTCTCTTAAACGCTCACCCAGGGTGACCAGGCTGTGGTGGAGCACCACTCACCTCGGGGAATTGCTGCTCAGGGTCTCCTCCAAAACGCTGGCAGTGCTTACCTGGGGTAACCCACAAACTGCGTAAAATACCTTTCAAATTCCACTTCTTATAACCAAATACTCATGCCACAGTATCACTGGAGGCCATGCTGGGTTTGTTAGAGAGGTCTCCGTGGGGGAGCATAGCTAAACTGGGGAGAATGCAAGTGGATGAGGAGGCAACTGCGGTGGCCTTGATGATGGCACAAGGAGGTAGCATGGGCCAAGGGGGCAGCTGTAGAGAGAGGAGAGGGAAAGATGGTGATGAGGGGCAGGAGGACAGGGGGTTGCTGCCTAAAGTAGGGAGGGAGACAGGAAGGAGAAGGAAGCAGCAGGAAGACTTGCTCAAGAAATCAGGAGACTAATAAAGCAAAGTAGAACGCAGAGAACAAAAATACAAAACTGCAGGTCTGAGGCTTTTTTGTTGTTGTTAACTTTAAAAACAGCTCTTGAAAGAAAGCAAAAGAAGAGGTGCAAGAAACAATATCTCTCTGGAAGAGCTATCCATTCTGCATCCGCTTCGAACCCTGATTTGTGCAATTCCTGTACACTTCACTCTCTATTTTTCAGTAATGGAGTGTCCTCTACACTGCAGAAGGGAGCAGAAAAGCTGCATTTTCTACTGCAGAACTTGCTGCTCCAGCAGCAAATAGAAATCATAATGATTTGGGGCGAATTTCACTTGCATAAGGTGGCAGTAAGCTGCCCCAGATATAAAATCAGCAAACTGTGTACTCATTCTTGTTCTGGGCAAAGGGGGCTTTGAAATAAAAATCATGTTAGTTGTAAATGCTAGTTAAAAATGATTAAGGCTTTATTGATTCAGCCAAGCATGATTTTAGTTATGTACCCTCTTTTCAGCACTGAAGTCCTTGTTTTATCGCATTTTATCCCAAAAGTTTTCCAACACAAGTTTCTAAACTGGTCCTTTTTCCTCCCAGGTTTTAGTAGCTAAAAGAGGTTTTCATCACTTATTTATTAATGGTGTCATTTCAGGTGTCTGAATTGCTTTGATCCTTCCAGCAATTTTCCTGCTAATTGCAGATCTGCTGTATATTAAGAAAATTACAAAAAAAGCAATAAAAAGTCTTTAGCCGTTACGTGAGAGTGCTACTGTCTCAAGTTAAGTTAATCCTATTCAATGGAAGCCCCAACCCTACACAATTAATTTCCTCACAGGGTGCTTTCTTCCATTCTCTATTCAGAAAAAAAAAAAAAAACTAATTAAAACTCCTCATTGATCACTTGTGTTAACATGTGCCTATGTAAAAGTGCTGTATTAAGCAGAGAGGAGCTTAAATCCCTATAATCTTGTGCAGCTTGGATAATGTACACAGGCTGAATACCAAAACCACCCAACTTAGATCAAAATAACATGAAGAGCTGGGCAAAAGCAGAAGCATTTAGAAGCATTTAGAAGGGGAAGGCTCTGCAGACTGCCTCTTTCTTTCCCTGCCTATATACAGGTACACGAGGGATGCGTAAGG